AAGTGAAGGGAGTGAGGAAAAACCTAGTATCTGTGATCAGTGATAAACCACAAGTATGGAACAAGTCTTACAGCTTTAACCTGTGGCAGTTACCCACTGTGTGTTACTCCCTTGATGATGGTACCCAGAAGGGAAGAGCATCCTGGTAATTGCTTTGTCTTGCTGAATTTCTGTCCTGTGGTCACTTAATCTGTTCTGTCTTTTTTGGTTTTTTAGTAATTTGACATATCTAGATTGATAGAACTGGAAACAACTACAAGTCTTGGTTTACTCGGGCAAACAATCTCATTATTCTAATGCCTCTTGAACTTGAACGTGCCACTATGAACTCCCTGTGTGTTTCACCTATTCTTGTACTCATGAATATAAGTATGTAACAAAAGTGACTTGAAACTTCATGCAGTGTTTGTGCTAAATAGGAACTGAATTTGTTCGTGACATTGATGTGCTGCTTTCTAATAAACAGTAAAAGCTGCAGCTCCTTTCTGAGGATTGGCCAAAGGGTCAAAATTAGGTGCTCTTTAGTCTGGATTACACCACCGTGAGTCTCTGTACTTTCTGGTGCTGAAAAATGAATGGAAATGATCTTTTTAACTGAAGTGGTAGAAGCTCATGTTCCTGTATCCAGTAGTTACAGTTTCCTGCAGGCGTCCAAGCAGGGCTGCTGCTACACGTGGCTTCACCAAGAGGTCATTGCAGCCAGAGCCAGGAATGAAATGCTGATGCCCTGTGGTCCTGAACTGGTTCATAAGTAGTTGCTTCCCTCTTTGGCTTGCTCTTGTCGGCTTAAGTTTGTGCTTTACTCCACTAATAAAATTACTTCAATTTATAGTTGAAGAGCACAGTGAAAGTGTGAACTGAACAGTGTGGGCTCTAAACAACAGAATGGTCTATATTTAATTATATTAACCTCACATCTTGGAATAATATCCAAAGCCATTTGCAATAAAATTCAGACTGACCTGTAAATGGTATTTCGTCCAAGTTGACTTGTGAGTGTTCTGCTGTGCCAGGACATGAGATGGCATTTGCAGTTGCTGTTTGTATTTTGGTTAATGCAGATGTCTGCTCAGAAGAGGGTGTGCCAGGTTGAGGCTGGCTGTAGTGTGAAAGGTTTCCTGCATATGGAAAGTGGAAGACTCTTATCTGTACAAACTCTGAGAAGTCTGGACCTTCATTTAGTAAACTTAATGTTTCTAGGGAGAAAAAGCATGTCTTTAAAGGTTAACCACTGGATGCAGCTGGACATTGCTGGTGAGATTGACGCATATGTAACTAGTCCAATTTATTAGGAATTGGCCATCAGATGGAAACGATATTTACTTGGCTCTTACGGGAAATTAATTTGATGGGCCTCATGTTCACAAGTCACTGTGCTTTAAGATTATTGGCGTATTCTGCAGAAAAGGCCAAGCTTACTGTGAAGATCGTTGTGCATGATTAGTTACCTGTGGAATAAGATCCCTTCCTGGATCACAGTTGAGCCACGTAGTAGTTGCTGAGAGCTTCATTTATTACCGCCACCTTTCCTGAGTACGAAGTCCATACCGTTTTTAAATTTCCCATGTAAAATAATGCCCTAAGAACTTGCACTGAGGTGTGAGCTTTGAAGATTATAATAATCTGTGAAAATATCTGCTCAGTGCTGATTAAATCAAACCCCAAATTTGTGCTAGGAAAATAACTAAAAAGAAGATGTTATCCTACTATATAAATACATGGAACGTTTGCATTTGAATGCTGTCCTCAATGCCAGTTCCTCTCCATGTCATAAAGTACAGGAGAACTGAAAGAGACCGATAGAGGAGTGACCAGAATGATCAAAAGTACAGCAGCTTTTGTACAAGGAATGACTGAGTAGGACTCTTTGGGCTAGGAATGGAAGGGCTGAGCTGGAGACGTGGTGAATGTGTAGAATCGCGAGTGGCGTAAAAGCGGCAAATATCAAGTGATTTTCATTCACTTTTCTCCTGTACAAGCATTAAGGGGTGTCAAAGTAACAGCTAACGGGTCAGGATACGTGACGTAGGTGGTTCTACACGGGGTTCATGGCTGGGTTGTGGATTTTTTTTGTTCGGGGTGTCAGTGTTGATAATTGTGGATCTGAGACGTGGCTGATTGAATTCGTAGAAGAAAGGTCTGATGAGGGCTACTGAATGCACAGATCCTGCCTCCGGGGCTCAAGAAGTCAGAGTTGCAATTCTTTGGAGCTGGAAGTTTGTCCTAGAAAGAAGCACCATGTGCTTGCCGTTGTACAGATCCCTGGGGAGGTATCTAGTGCGAGGTCTTGAGCACAAATTACTGGGCTAGGTGGACACTTTCCCTGGTGTGGCTAATTTCAAGCTTATATGGTGAATTTGTAGCTAAGTTACCTCTGGCTCTGTGAGTAAATTAATTTGCTAAATTTCATCAACCTCACTTGTGATCTGTGCGAGGACTCTGAAGGAGTGTGCTCTTCAGATAAGGCAGAAGTTGGAGGTGCTACACCACCAAACTTCCTTTAGTAGATTTCAACACCTACTGAAGGAAAAGAAAATTACATCATGGCAGTAATTTTTACAAAGCAATGGGTGCAATGACTTATTTCACGTTTTTTTGACACGTATAGCTGAAATATATAGCATCTGAATGAGGAGCCAATGCGTCTGTCAGACAAACTTATCAGTGTGCTTTGGTCATGCCTACTTTTTAATGCAGGCTTTTGGGAAGGAAGAGTGTTGGAATCGGAGCAGAGAAGGGATGAGTCTTCCTGTGTGACGTGGCTGCACCTATGAAATCAATTTTAAATAGAGTGGTGTTAAACTACAAACCACTTAAACTCCGAAGCCTTGTTCGTAGGTGCCATGCTACCTCTGGAAGCAGTTATTCCTCCTGATTACTGATCACACTGAATCACAGAATCGCTCGGTTGGAAAAGCCCTCTGAGATCATCACGTCCAACCGTTCCTGTCTACCCCCTAAACCATATCCTTAAGTACCTCATCTACCCCCTCTGTAAATCCATCCAGGGATGGTGACTCCACCACCTCCCTGGGCAGCCTGTTCCAGCCTCTGACGACCCTCTCAGTAAAGAACTTCCTCCTTAGCTCTAACCTGAACCTCCCTTGGCACAGCTTGGTGCCATTTCCCCTTGATGTCCCTATGTTAGAGGTTACTGTTCCTTCTGATTTGCTGGGGAACCAATTCCTATTCCTAGGCAAAATGAGCCAGGTCAGTGCAATTGCAAGGTCTTTGATAAGTGGCTTCCTGGAAGGAGCACTCTCCCCTTCAGGTCTCATGGCAGACTTGAGAGTACAGTGAGTCTTCTTGCCCTAGACCACTGATGCAGGTTGAAAAGGTAACCTCTTCCACCTATAAGGTCTATAGAATGACCTGTTTCTGCAAGTGTCAGTGGGTTAAATTGTTTCAAACTATGCACTAGTTTAATTTAAGGGAACTTCCACATCCTGGGAAGGATAAAATAAATGTGTGCTACTTGCCTGTGCTTCTCAAAATATTCAGCTTAGCCCTGCATGTTGCATTCAAGTAAAGAGAATAAAAGATAGAATCAGGCTCAACAATCTGAAGAAAAGCTGCAGCTAAGTCTCAGGTTATGTGTTTCATGTGGTCTAAAGGACTAGGAAAGAATGTAAGTTGAGTGCCATCTTACTGTGCTAAAGCTCTTTGCTTGGCTGCCTGTAAAAATTTTAAGGCGAATCACGTGTCAGAGTTGCAATATAAATCCAAATAAAATAAACCTTAAAACAAGTCAACGTAAATAAAATAAAAGTTGACACGAAGCACATATCCCTCAGGGTAAGAAATGCTGGGTGTTTGGATGAAGGTTTTCGTTAGCAGTTTTGTGTCAAGGAATTCAGATGCTACAGTTGCAATAAAATCCATTGCTGGATAAACTCTCCAGGTTTTTATTGTTTATGCCCTAACATATCGTGAAGATACAGTTGCAAATTGATGTATGTGGGAAATTTATTGAGTGGTCTTGGTACATGGGTACTAATTCTTTTGGCTGTTGTGGCAGATTGCCTTATTTTATACTGACGTGTGTGATCTTCCTTGTAGAAGCATTCCAGTTTGAAAGGGTTCAGGCAGCTGCCAAAAATTACTTGAATGTGGAAATCACACATGTGTTCCTTCAATTAATCCTTAGTGATTGCTCTTTGAGCATCATTGAAAGGCAGTAAGGTTACTTCTCCCCTCTTCCTTCTCCTGCAAAGGTTAAAAGAACTGTGAAAATATAAGGGAGTGAGTAGGATGCAGTGGTTGGAGAAGAACAGACTGAGAATGAGGGTTGTCTGGTTTCCAAAGCTGTTCCCTGACTATGCTGGTTATTTATTATAGAGTTTCCATTTTCATAAAACTATTAGTTTTCTTCTGAAAGATGTTGTGTGTGGAGAACGGAAAGATTTAAAAGTAGTATTAGAGTTGGTTAGTCTTCCTCTGTCTCTATGGAAGACATAAAAATAAAAGTTAGGCTTTGGGTATTAGAGTTTCACAACAGAATTTAAATTTGAGACGATTGTGTGACCAAGAGATGCAGTCAGAGATTGGGGAGGATTTAAATAAAAATACAAAAAATTCAAAAAATAATAAAAAAAGCAAAACCAAACCCCAGAAACCAAACCAAAACTTGCTTTGGGTCATCAGCTAATGAACTGTAGAAACGTGGAAGAAATTCCTTACTCAAATACAATTTTGCCCCGTGGGCGCTTGCTTTGTGGTATTATTTTGCTTTGAGGCATTTGGCGTATCCTGCTGGGTCGAGTGTCCGTGGTTATCAGTGTTTCCTTATGGCACGATAACTTCCATATACGCTTTTCTTAGGCTGTCGTTTCTGTTGTCGAGTTGCTTTCAACTCTTGCAGTCAGCTCTGTTTCTTACAGTTACAGCTTCTGGAAGAAGGGAGTTATCCGCCAACCAGAAGAGTTATGGTTCTTGTGGTGTTACTGCATCTCTTGGCTGTAAACCAATTCACTGTGTTGCTGCTTGTTCTCTAATTCCAGGAAAGCCAATATTTTCAGTGGACATTCATCCAGATGGGACCAAGTTTGCAACAGGAGGACAAGGTATGTCTGCGTACTGATAGAAGGAGGAATTTGGGGCTGTAGTAATAATCTTGTGCTTTCACAACACTGTAATCGGTTTGACCCTTTTAGAAACACTTCAGTTACATAAATCTCTGTTTCTTAGAGATATAAGTCATTGAAATGTATTGAAAAGTCTCGTTGTTACTGCAGAAGGCAGGGATGCATTTTCCAATGCACTCATCCTCTTGAACATCGGTTGCGATAGTAGCGGCAATAATTGAGTTATGGCTATGCACAGATTTCATTTTTATTTGAAGAGGAACAGAATGTGAAGTTGAGCTTTTTGACCAGCTAAATAGTAGAGCTATTGGCACAAAAATTACAATTACGTACATGGAATAGCTCAAGAAATATGTGCAAAAATATTTGGATTACCGCAGGGAATCATTTTACGTTGGCTCCAATAATGGCAATTCAGGATTTGAAGTGTATCTTTTATCTTTTAAAATACAATTTTATTATAGATAGTTCATCCTTATAGTTGGTGTCATATGCAGTACGATTTTTGAACAAGGCTGTATAGCTTTATTTTGAATAGTTTCAAGAAAAATAAACCACGTCTGACTCGGTGTTATATCAGGATGGCATCTGTATTCAGATATTTCCAAAGTTCCCACTGCAGTAATGCCTGCATTTTAGCCTCTGTTCTGGAAGTGAGATTAAGTGGCAAAGCTTTTTTTGCTTGTATTTAAAGGCAGGGCTGTTTTGTTCTCTTACAGGTCAGGATTCTGGGAAAGTTGTGATCTGGAACATGGCTCCTGTCTTGAAGGAGGAAGATGAAAAGAATGAAAATATTCCCAAGATGCTTTGTCAGATGGACAATCACTTAGGTAACAAAGTTTGTTTGTTTTTAACGGCTGGGAATTTGGCAAAGCTTAAGTATTACATGTTTGTAACTACAAAAATCATAGCCTGTGCAGTGGTGAAGAATCAGTAAAACACAGCAGAGTGGTCTCATACTTTGGCTGTGTACTCTTCAAGATATTCAGCAGAAAATGTTGTTAAAATGTGGGAAAATGTACAAAGAAATAGAGATACCTTTGGAAGTCCCCTCCCCATGAACTTTTTCCAGCTGTGACCACACAGTAATGGATAATGCACATTCTGAGAAACTGGGGAGTTCTGAAGGAAAGGACAAGGGAAGAAATAAGTATAAAGGAAACATCACATGAAGCCTGTCAGTTATAGTTCTAAATTATTCTGGGTTCATTTTACATTACATTTGGAAGTACAGTTACCTGGACGAGGTATCTGCTTTCTTTTCTTCAAGATACAACTTTCCTTCTTTGCCCTCTTAATCCCACTTCATTTACCACAAGCAGTTTCCTCTGTTAGATGAATATGAATCTTTCTTCTTTTGATCTACTTTTGTTGAAGCGTTTTAAATAAGCAGTAGTTCTTTTAAAGTAAGAAGTTCCTCAACTGCTGCTGACAGATAAGTACCAATTCATTTATCTAAAGCAGACAGAGTAACTGCTTTGAGTGGAAAAACCACACTGAAATCCTAAATGTCTCCTGTCAAGTTTTGCTTATTATAAACTCTGTCCCCACTCCAGAACAACTTATTCTCATGTTTCATCTTACAAAATTCCTTTTCTACATTTCAGCTTGTGTGAACTGCGTGCGATGGTCAAACAATGGCGTTTACTTGGCGTCAGGGGGAGATGACAAGTTGATTATGGTGTGGAAACGAGCTGCGTAAGCATGTTTCTTCCTTCTCCATTTTATGTTTTACTTCAAGTAGGTGACTTTGTCGTATCCCGTAGTGTCTCTTCTCTGTGTTGGCGTTTTCTAAGCTCACTGCCTTGCCTGGTACATAAGGAGCTGCAACCTGTGACACCACATCACTGGTGTTGGAGGTTTGGTCTCACTGTTTCTTGGGCTGGAGTGTGCATCTACCTGGGCAGCCTCTCCTCTTGAGGAGCTGAGGCATTTTCTTCTGTCCTTGAAGAAAGCTTCCTGATGAGATTTGAAGAGCTATCTTAAATGTTAGATTTTTTTGCTCTCTGTAGAAATTGTGCATTGTATTGAAGCTATTGTTCTTTAATAACTGGAATTGCTTTCTCTAAAAAAAACCTGTTTTTTTTTTCCTTCAGTTTTCCTTGCAGGAATAACTGACTGTAAAATAAAAGTGTACTGTGCAGCTGATTTGTGTTAGAAAGAAACAGTTTGAAGAGTTTGAGATGGGTCTGTTGATAAACCTGTTTCTATTTTAATTAGGTACATTGGACCTAGCACTGTGTTTGGTTCTAGTAGCAAACTTACTAATGTTGAGCAGTGGAGGTGTGTATCGATTCTCAGAAGCCATTCGGGGGGTAAGTTAAAAGGTGTTGAATTAACAGAATTTGCATGAATGTGGAAAAAAATTGTTGTTCAGTGTCACATTTTCATGCTCAAAGTCAGTAAGTCAGTAATTACTTTTAAGAGCCACAATTAAAATCTAAAAGAAAATTTTTAATCAAATGCTAATTTACTTACAAGTAACTTCTGGCAACTCTGTTGTAGAACAATGAGCAACTAAGAAACTTGTACTTTGCTATTTGCTTGGTTAAAAATGAATCTGAATGAAGGAAGCTGAACTATGTTTTTATTTAAATAAATATTCACACTTGCAGTGAATAATTACCTGGTTGGCAAAAGGTATTTTTTTTGTAATCCAAAGAACATGAATGTTTATTTAGAAAAAGATAACTAAAGAGCAATGCGAAAGATGAGTAAACGAGTTAATTTCAAACGCATTGTGCACCTGCAGACAGGAGCTATGATTAAAATCAAGATTGAAATCAGTTTGATCACGTGTGTTGGAATAAAGCGAGTGCATTGCAACAGATGCTGTTGCTTCTTCATTCAGAACAAGACCAAGTACTTTGTACAAGCATTAGTACTTCCTCTTCCTACAGTCGCTAAACATTGCATTAGTGCTTTCTCTGCCTTGGATTTTTTGGTTTGTCCCCAGTTGAACATTGTAAGTTGGAGAGCCTCCTTCCCAATGAGTGTTGCTATGCTCTTTCTTACCTTCCACGCTAGTGAGACAATAATAATTTCTTAGTGATAGAAAAAAATGTTGCCACACCAGTTTTTTAAAAAAAGATTTTTTTGGATTTTCTGATTGCCATCAACATCTTATATGGGAACTTCTTCTTTTTAAACAGATGTCATGGATGTAGCGTGGTCTCCACACGATGCCTGGCTGGCATCCTGTAGTGTGGATAACACTGTTGTTATCTGGAATGCTGTCAAATTTCCAGGTGAGAATTCTTACATGTCTGATGTGCAGGTATGTAATGCTTAGTGACAAACTCTTCCCTCTATGGGTGTATTTCACTAACTGTGAAAATCTCTGTGGGAATGGGTTGTCTGTCTTTTGAGGTGACACGCTTGCAATCTGCTAAGTCAGTCCTCCCAAGTTTGGATGGCAATGAGCAGTGGAGTCCACTCTGCTGTAGACAACAGCTACGTTCAGGTTGTGCTGCTGATTTTACATGAAGGTCATTATTACATGTATTTTCTTTTTCACCTTCTGTGCAAAATCCCAGATAAATAGAACTTCAGCTTGATATTACATTACATAGTTTCCCGTTGCCTTTGTTACCTACAGGACTTTCCATTCATTTGCCCTGGGGAAGGAAGCATTATCTTATTTGCTCCATTTTAAATGCTACTGCTTAATAAGCAGTGTGATTTTACATGATGAAGGGGAGAGAGAAAGGATTACGGGAGCCTCACAGTAACAGAAGCTCTTGAGTCGTAGATCTGATGGCCGTTTTCCTCCTCCTTGCTGCACCAAGTAACTTGATGCAGGCTCAAAGTCCCATTCTGTGGTGCCCAGTCACTGTCATTTATTTTAGGGTTGCTTTCAATCCTGATATCAGAGTTTTTTAGACTTTGAAGCAAGCTGTGTAGCCTGTGCTGTATTCCCACCCTCTTTTCTTACAGTCTGATAAGCAAGAGACTGACTGAAAGTAGGTTACCAGGTCTGCCAGGCTTGTGTGTCTGTTCAGTCACACCTTTGACTTATTTCACATGTGGTGCACAAAGCTGAATTTGTTGTGATAATCTCTGAGTACAGGGGAAAGGTTGAATGTTTAACTGAAATTTCAGTTAAACCCCTGCTTTCTGTAGCTTGAAAGCGCTATTCCAAATTGCCTGAGCTCTGCTGGTCTTCTGGCTCTGATCTATTTCTTATAAAGAGTTTTGCACTCCTGATTTTGTCCAGAGGTCTCTTTCTCACTTTCTTAATACAATTCTTAGCTTAAATGCAGGTTCCAGTTTGGTTGATATGTTGTTTGTACATTAAAAGAGGTTATATTTAATAGGCTGTTTCAAAAAGATCTTGTAAGTCTCAGCAGTCCGTCATGAAGGAGGTGTCAGTAACTACTCTCTGTTCTTAATTTTGTGTGCACAGAAATTCTTGCCACTTTGAAGGGGCATTCTGGCTTGGTGAAAGGGCTGACCTGGGATCCTGTTGGAAAATATATTGCCTCTCAGGCTGATGATCGAAGTTTGAAGGTGTGGCGGACCATGGACTGGCAGTTGGAAACCAGCATCACAAAACCCTTTGATGAGGTACTTCAGAATGTGTGACCGTTCAAAGTGAATTCCTGTAGAATAAATGAAATCTGTAAGAATAACTCGGATTCTGCACAAACTTCAGTTAATTTAACAGTGCCAAAGCAAATGAAACTATCAAATGGCAGATTCGAAAGGGGGGAGAAAACAGCTACTTTCTCACACAACGTGATGTGTGGATGTTGTGGATGTGGCACTTGTGGACGTGGTTTAGTGGGCATGGTGCTGTTAGGCTGACGGTTGGACTTGATCATCTTAGAGGTCTCTCCCAACCTTAATGATTCTGTGATTAAATTGAGACTTCTATTGCCATTGGATGTTGTGGGTGCCAAAGGTTTACATGGGTTATGTAGACAATTAAGTAAATTCCTGGAATTGTAGAGCTTATTCCAAGGAAGTGTTGGCACATACATACAGCCGAGGCGGTGCTGAAGGAACTGGGGCCCTTCGAGCTGGGCTGCCAGGGGAGAACATGCCCGCCAGGCATGAGGGGACCACGGGGGGCACGGTTTGGGGGGGTATTGTGGGGCTGGGGTGTTAGGGGAGG